TTCTTGATTCAGCGTTCTTGATGAGACATAAACACGCAGATGATGTTAGGTAGAAACCGTACGTTCTAAAAAGGCAATATGCTGTATGTTTATGTGTGTCATTCACATACATCGCCTAAAACGTCCGGAAGAACAAAATGAAAGGGAAGATAGAGGCAGAATTAAAATCAAGGTTTCTAATGAGCGGATGAGGCATTTTCATGCGCCATCTAGAAGTCTGGGGATGACAGTGAAATCATTGAAAGTAGGCTGTCTCTCTCATACTCTTTCTTGTCCTGATTAAATGCCATGTTGTCCTAAATCAGCGAATAAAACCCCGACTGTTTTCTCGCTTAGCCTGTTCTTTAGAATTTGCCCCAAATAAACAGCTGCCCCGATTAGCCGGTAGTCTAATGAACCGTAATCTATTGTATTCTTGCAAATTTTGCGCTTTTAATTAAAGTTCATATGGTTCAAAATTTAATCGTTAGGGTAGGCAGGCAGTTCTATTGTTTTTCAGCAGTTTTACACGGGTTAAAGCAGAAATACAATTCAGCGACAAAAGAAATGCATAAAAACAGTTGTCAGCTATTGTTTGGAAGCTGATCGTAAAAATAGTGTATTTAGATTATAATGTGAATCAGCTGACGTACCTTTTGGAGTATTGAACGGTGAAGTTCTCTTTTGTGTTCTCTTTCTTGTAGTGATGCTAATGACGATTGGTTGCAATGGCTCAGTAACTGTTTTATATGCGAGTTGGACCGTACCTGTGTGGTCAGTATGGACGATAGATTTGGTGTCACGGTCATAGGTAACTCCTCTGGTACTGGTCATTCAGCTTATCACCCATAAGTTTATAGTTGATAATGCCTAGATGTAAATCTGAACTCAGTATTTGATAGCGAGAGTTAGGCAGCCTACCATAAACCCTCAGGGGAAATCAGTATCTGTTCTTAGACGGCGAATTCTGAAAATTTACCAGCACCCTTTTCTAGTCACTACTGCTCGCATGATCAGACTTTGTCAGGTCTTAACTGCTCAGTTAGCTGTCAGCTAATCGGCTGAGGTTGTGTACTGCTTGTTTTCATACCGTAGCTGTACGTTGAATGGATCACGTTTGCGTTGTCATATCAGGTGGTTGTCGTGGCTTGCCATGCGTCGATCCTTCACTGATAGTCTAATGTTTGTTACTATTTTGGGTATTTGCTAAGGTAAAAGAGACATGGCCTAATCAGAAGAACTGTTCCATTTTTTCCAACTTCGTTGCTAAATTCGAAGCTAGAGAAATTGGTGTGCATCTTCTGACGAACAGCGTATCATACGTACTTACTCAGATACTGCCCACTGATAGTTGGCTACATATCCGTGTCGTTTCAGCGCGCGTTTTTAATATCTGTAGCTGTTATGACAGTGCGTTGGTGGGTTGACCCCGGACTGCATAGAAGCCATGTGCCCATTACGGTTGTTTTACCATTGTTATTAGATGGCCCGAGTCATAACCCAACTAAGCGCCAGTTGTTGTATTTCTGAAATAATCTAACCAGTGATTTCCATCTTAATATTTAACGTTGTTAGTTATCAGTTAAGCTCAGCAGCAGAATTTCTCCATCGAGCACTACCATTGTCTGAAATGAAGTTCGTTACAGACAGTTGCAACGTTATTCACTTTCTATCATACTCTTTCCTCAG